CATGAGTGGATCTGAGTGGTGCTGGGGTGGATGAAGCAGATGCTTTTGGTGCTCTGTGTCATTTCCTCTGACCTCTGATTTTGGTTGCAGCTGTGGTGAACCGTTCCTTGTGTGCTCAGATCATGTTGCTAGCACTCCTGGTCAAGCCTATGACACAAATTTCTTCACTTTTCTGCTGTGAGGCCTTCTCCAAAGCTGAAAGAACCTGCTCCGCCCAAGGGCAAGCATAGCCTGAATGTGAAGGTGTTAACATCCCTGGGACGCCCCTCAACCAGTAGGGATTGGGGTCAGTTGACACATGCCCCAGCCTTATGTTCTTCAGACAGGGCATTATGGGATGCATTTCATAGTGTATTCAGAGGTGGAATTGAGTTCCTGTTGCCTACAGGGGCAACTTCAATATTATACCTGTATATTGGCATTTTCTCCTTTCCTGGCGCGTTCTGTTTTCTACTCCAGTTTCCTAGAATCACTCCCCAAATAAACTGCCTCAAGTCCTTGGCTTCTAGAGAAACACAAACTGAAACATTTCCATTAAAACCAGAAACAAGACAAGCATGTCTACTATCACTGCTAATTTTCAACACCATACTGTCTTTATTTACAAAATGAGCTGGTCTTCTACACAGAAACCCAAAGAATCTTCAGGATTTATTAGAGCTAGTAAAGGAGTTCGACAAGTGCAATTTATGATTAATTTATGTAAAAATAGTCTACAGCCATGCCACCCTGAACAAGCCCAATCTCGTCTGATCTCGGAAGCAAAGCAGGGTTGGGTCTGGTTAGTACTTAGATGGGAGACCACCTAGGAAGACCAGGTGCTGTAGGTGTAAAAAATAAAAAAATAAGGGATTGTAAGCTGACAAGGTCCTTGCAATCTGTGAGGTCAACCAAGGGATGCCTCGTCTAAAAAAAAAAATTATGTAAAAATAGTAATTTTCCTTTATACCAGCAATAACAAACTAGAAAATATGGAAGAAAAGATTCTGTAGCGGTAAAACTCTGTTAAAGAATATGTAAGATCTTTAAGAAATTTTAATGAAAACTTAATGGACATTAAGGAAGTTTTGAATAAAGAATTATGTTTCTGGTATTATAAAGATCTTGGCTCTCCCAAAACTAATCAATAAATTCAGTGCAATTCCAACTAAATTTCAGTGAGAATTTTTCTCCACCATCCCCCACCAAGAATCAATCAAACTTATCCTAACATTTTTATGGAAAAATAAAGGTTCACAAAAATAACTGAGTCAATTTTTCAAAAAAATAAAAATTGTTATGCAGGAACATTTGTAGATAGGTGTAAGAGCCTAAGATTTCAAAAACAGACGCATATACATGAACATGAACTGCGTTAGTGATACCATGAACTAGTAAAAAAAAAATGACTTATTTAATAGAGTGTTGATAAAATTGATTCATTGTATGGAGAAAAATACCTATGGACCTTATGCAAAGTTGCTCTTAAGATATTAAGTATGAAAGGTAAACTGTAATTTAATAAAAGTTTGTGACCTTACAATGAATGTTCTCTTTAACATCCCCCAAAACTATAAAAAAAAAAAAAATATATGGATTTTATCATATAAAAATCTAAGGAAACTTTGACAAAGTTATCAGTTGAATAAGAGATATTAACAGACTACACAATTGATAAAGAAATCAATACTTAAATTATACAAGAAAATTCTGCAAATCAACAACAACAACAAAAAGAACCCTTGACCCAGTAGGAAAATAGGCTATAAATAAAAATATACTTGTTTCCCATTAAATCAAAGTGTAAAATTTTTGAGGGTTTAATAGGCAATTTACAAAAGAAAAAAAATTTTGAACAACTAACTGTGAGGGAATGTTTAACCTTATTAGGACTCAGAGAAATGCAAAATAAAATAAGAACTCACTTTAAAATCATTCCATTAGCAAAGATTGGGAAGCTGGGTGGTACCAGTGCTGGTGAGGGTATGGATAACAGTGGTACTCTCATGCAGGCAGTGGATCTGTAGACCGGTGCAGTCCATTGGAGGGCAGCCTGACAGTTCTGGGTAAAATTAAATATGTATATCCCTGAGACTCAGCACTCTGACTCCTGTTATATACCCACTGAGGAACTCATGAAAAATCAACAAGGGAATTAGGTACAAAGGTTTTGGAATGGCAGAAATATTAGAGACAACCCGTCACTAGTGCGTGGTGGCTAACACTATTCAGTCATCAGAATAACTTACTAGAGGTACATACTGCAGAGGAAGTAACGTGTCAATTATGTTATTTTTGGACATAAAAAGAGAAGATGTCCTTTTGAGAATCTAAGCCTTTACCATTAGGCTCATGATACAGGGCAAATTACACAACTGCTTCTACTTAAGAAAGACAACCCTTAAATCTGCTTTTATATCATGTCTTTATTAAGGAGTAAAGTGTTCAGTATTGCACATCACTGAAATTCTCTTTTGTTGAGAGAGACCAGCATAATATAACATCTTAATATCAATATAGAGGGGAAGATGATAGGGGAAGGATGAGGACAGAATGTTCTGATTAAAGAAGAAAAAATATGTAATTTATGAATAAAAATAAAAAACTTGCAAATTTTTACAGGTGAAATGAAAACAGTATGATAGTAACTATCAAAAAAGACTTTCTAGTGGCATAATTGATGTATATCATGTGGTCAATACACATGCATACCACATAATGGCTGCACTTCAGATTGAAGTTTGTTTACATGTAACAACTGGAATGCAGACTACCCAAAGGACTTTGTGTAGCATACTTCAAATAAAGATAAAGCCATGGGAAATAACTTAAAGAAAACCCATGTGATCACTTCTTTACAAGCCATCTTAGAAAGGTTTGTTTCCTCATTAAATGGACACGTGCTTTAAAATATAGCATAAAAAAACAGGCCTCTTTTCTGTTATTCTCTGAGTGATTCACTAGCAGTGCATTTTCTCTTACTTGTCCAATCAGCTTTCAAAAGGGTCATCTACTCGACATTTCTGAAAAAAAAAGATTTTCATTTTTTACTGAGTAGAAATAAATTTCTTCCCCACAAATTTGGTGAGACCCTCTCCTTATGAAAACAAACAAACAAACAACAACAACAAATAAAAACCCCAAACTGCTGCCGACTCAAACTTTGGCTGATACCCTCTGATAATGGATGAACTTTTAATACCCAAAACTCCTTTTCATTAAATGAGCTCCATTTAGAGTATAAATTCTAGGTTTGAAATGCAGGGTCAAGAGTATTTGAATTGTGTATTCTTAAAACAGTATGAAACTTTAGTTTTATAGTATTTTTTAATGAATCTCAAAATTCCCCTAAAATGTTATTTAATATGAACATATTTGCTGAGGTAAAAATTTCAGTACATACTAAAAATTTTTCGTAAGGTTCTATTCCTAGATTAGTCACAACATTGTTTTTAGTTGCAAATAAGTTGAGACACATGGTAAAGAGAATATATAGTTAAGTCTTTATACTAAACTAATTATGGAAATAAGCAAAGCAGTGATAGGACTCATTCCAATTCTCTGATGTTATGGTTAGAGATGACGTTTTTGTTGTGACCAGAATAACCAGACCCAACTTGAGTGCTCTTAACCAGGAGACAGTTTATTAGCCGGCGGCTGTCCTTGCAAAGGAGCAGCCCCGAAATGCCAAGATACAAGGTTTTTAAGCCCCAAATCCCATTCCTCATTCTGTCTTAACCACAAGGGTCCATCTTTCTCCTATTCACTACCTGTCAACCCACTGGTCAGGTGTGCAAGCGGGGAGTACAGAAGCAGAAAGCTTGTTGTTAGAATGTTATGTTCCTATGGGTGATTGCCTATGTTCCCATGGGCTATAGCCAGTGTTCCCATGGGCGATGGCCAAACAGTAATTTTCAGCTTATATACAATTGATTATTTTTCATGCCACGCAAGCAAGCAGGGTTACACAGGCTAAAATTGGCAGTTAGCGTATGAGCTCATTGTTCCAAGTTTCATGATTAACAGAATGTGGTTAGGGGTTCCAGAAACTAGGCCTAAGTTATAGACTTCCTTTGTCCAGTTTCAGGTTTTAATTATTCTTTAACCCTTTCACATTTCAGCGGGCTATTACAGTTTTAACCCATAATTGATCTTTAGTGGTTTCATGCAGTTCATTTCAAATGAGAGTGAAAATAATGTAAAAAATTAAGCAAAACAGTTATTCTCACAGACATTAGATGCGATAAAATAACAAAGCATAGTACTCAACATGTACCTTAATCATTCATACAAATTCTAGCGTAATGACTAATACTCATTCCGTTTGGAGTTCTTTTCTAGCTCATCTTTTAGAACAGTTTACCCTAAGAAAGTAGTTAAAATAAAAGGCTCCTTTCTTATAAGAAAGCTATGTAGTACGTCCATGAGCTAAGCCGGAGGAGGAAGGAGTGCTCCTACTTTCCCTTCACGCATTGGGCAAAAATGACGATATTGATTTTTGTGATTGAAAATGAAACTCAAAAGCCTTTTGACAGTTCTCTTCTAACTTTAAAAGGCGACTTCATTGTCAACTGAGACTCAGTCATGTTAGCAAGTGGACTTTCCACTCTCTATATACCTTACAAAGACTTTTTTTCTGTACTCAACATTTACAACTAATTTCTTACCTGAAGAAAAGGAAAAAAATCTTTGATCCATGGGCAAGATTTACCTAAAATAAATTAAAGTGCAGAAGAATTAACAATTGATTACAACGACCAGCAGCATATGGTGGTCAGGGCATATAAATACAGCGGGTCCTGGATTAAAGTCGTTCAATTATAACGTTGATGAGATGCGGAGGAACTTAACACTTGCGTATGTCAATGAGCCTATGGTAAAGCCGGTTTCATTATGCCTCATTTCACCACCGTTCCAAGAACCTGTCCACAATGTTAAGTGAGGACTTACTGCAGTGTCGTTGCTATGGAAATTCAGGACGGCCTTCTCACCTATTAGGAACACATTTAAGAACACCCTTCCTAGACGTTGATATTGGAACTGCCGGTTCCACCCGTGCCTTCTATTCCTTCCGTAGACTGAGAGGAAGAAGGGCGGGAGCTTCTGGGGTGAGGCTGACCATTTAGACCCACAGGTGTGCCTAAACCATGACTTATTTGGGAAGCTGCATCATCGGATTCCCAGCGTTCCAACTCTTCCCGCACTAGCCGTTCCATCTGTTCCCTGTGGATTTCACTGTCACGACCCAGTCTTTCATCCTAATGAAGGAGAAAGAAACCATGTTAGGGAATAGTGATGCATATTCTCATACTTAAAAATTGCTCTAGGAAATTTGGGGGGCCAAATCTGTCTATAAGAGGTAAGGCTGGAGATTCAGAGCATGCAACAGCAATTCTCAGTTACTAGAGTAACTTTTGCTTAATTCTACTATCTAGCAAAGGCAGGACCATCAGTATGTAAAGCTTAAAGAAAATAACACCTCTAGATAATCATTTGATCTACAGTTATGGAGAGAGAGAAACCTCAAATTAAGAGTTACAAAAGACGACTACCCTGATACTTTACAGAATCAGGGCATTTCTGTTTCAGGCGACCATTACCTCGGCCACGCCATCCAGCAGCCTTCCCAGCACCTCTCTCCTCTTCAGTTTGGCCCGCTCCATGATCTCCAGCTTCACTATCACAGCATCGATCTTGGACACAATGCTGCCGATGGAGTGCTCCATTCGGTCCACTCGTCTCACGAGGCTGCAGGAAACCACAGTTGAGTGGGACAAAGCCAGTTGTCTTTTCAGCCCAGTTGGCTTTTCAAATGGAAGTGCTAAGATTTGTCCTTAAATAATATGATAATCTGAAATATTTTCTAAGCAGTCTCTAATTTTAGAGATAATCTCTCATTCATTGCTGGTAGGAGTGCTAAATGAAACAAAGTTTCCACAAGTCAATATTTTATCAGAAGTCTTAATATATGCCTACCTTTTATTTATATATTCCTTGTTTTGAAAACTTTCTAAAGAAAATAAGCATATGTATAATTTTTGGCTAGCCAGATATTCTCTAGACTTTTGCTTATTAATAGTGTTTCAATGAAAATGATTACATTAAGTAATTAATAAGAGATTACTTAAAAATATTGTTGTTCATCTATACAATGAAATTCTAAAGAGACACCAGAAATTATATCGTGACAGAATATTTAATGAAAGAGTGATATTCACAATATAGTGAGTAAATAAAACAAAAGAGTATGTTCACTTATGATCCCACTATTTTGCATAAACAAAATGTTATATAAATATTTAAAATCATAAATAGGAGACAACTTCTAAAAGAGTAGCACGAGAGCTCTATAGGCCCTCTCCCCAGTGAGAAAATTACAAATACAAAAAAAAATTATTATTTTTTTAAGTTTTGAAAATTTTCTTATGGGCATACAGCAAATGAATGAGCATTTGTTTTAGAAAATCAACTAAATTTCAGTAAGAAAGAGTGAATGTCTGCGATATCTGAGCCATAATCTGCAGCATCTCTCCCATTCCCAGCTCAGTGTGACAGAAGCACCACCCTGGGGTAGGGTGGGGTGTGGCAAAGGACACAGGTCTCCTTCTCTCCTTAGCTCCCAGTGGAGGGCTACGGTATCTCTCAGAAAGGGACAGTATTTCTCATCTCTATGCTTCCATATCAAATCTATGTTTCAGAGGCTCTAATTCAGACAAGCGTGGCTGAGAGGTGAGGCTCTCTCCTCCCATTCAACTTCCAAATGTAGGGTGGAGATTGCATGCCAGGAGAGGCAAGCTGAGAAGTTCAAATGCCGTCATCCCAGCACAGTATCTTATTCATGAATCAAGGGTGTCACTTTGAGAGAGATGGGCCACTGTCCCTGCCCCTATCTCTGGTGCAGTGGCACAGAGGTTTCACCTCTATAGAGTCAGGCTATAAGACAGAGAGCTTCAAAGCTCCCCACAAGTGAACCGGCTTTATCTGGAACAGAATGTGGGACATTCAAGCCTAAGAGTGCTCCTGAAAGCCATGGAGATGGTGGTAATAAGCAGATAATAGGAGACTGGTCATTTCAAGAGCTCAACAAGTTAAATTGTTTACCAGTGAGAACTGGGGAAAGAGACAACTAAGAAGACAGCTAAAGACTGGCCTCAAAGACTATTCCTCAAAGGGGCCTGAATTTAACTGGATCAGACTATAGAGCAATTTATATCCCAAGGCATTAATGATAATAATATGCCACTCAGCCAACAATTAGCAGAACCTAAGAGGTGGAAGGGATATCAACAGAGGGAGAAGGCTTAACAGAGAGATCAGGGAAAGACAATGAGAACCTTGCTAAAATCACCATCTTCCCAGGAATGCGGTGTGTATGGTCATGGCTGTGCCCTCTGAGAAGCAACAAGTCCGGAGGTGGGGAGGGGCAGAGAACTAGTATCTAGAATTGCTATAATATATTATTTAACATCTCCAGTTTTCAATAACAAATTATGAGCCATGCAAAGAAACAGCAAAATATGACCCATACACAGAGCAAAAGAAAAAGCCGGCAAAAGAAACTACCTTTGAGAGAGATCAGATAGACTTAGTAGACAAGGAGTTCACAGTAGCTCTTCCAAATATATTCACAGAACAAAATGAAACGATGCTTAAATAAATAAAGGATGGTATAATGTCATTGTCTCTTCAAATAGAGAATACCAATGAAGAGATTATTAAAAAGAACCAAGTAGTGATGTCAGAAGCATGGCGGAGTGAGGGATCTCCCCAGAACTCTCCCCTTGAAATGATAATAAGCCAAATATCTAAAACTCAACAAATAACACCCAGCCTGCACACAAGCACATCTGAGAGATCTGCTCAGAAAAGCTTTTATAGGAAGAAAGGGGAAGGGATAAGAAAAGACAGGATTACCGCTTTTTTGGGGGGATAGAAAGGGTCTATCTGGCAGTTTACCTCATTGTTGCTGACCAGAGAATTTCAGACTGACCTTTTAAGATTACATTCCTGCGGAAAGTTGAAACTGCATTAGGTCAGGTATTAAGCCTTAGTTTGGTGACATGGGGTTAGCACAGGTGACTCCATTTTGGGCCCATTGTTTCTTTTTAATAACCAAACTCTACCTTACTGGACTATGATCATTTCAAGTGAATTAACATAAAGTACATGATCTCATGTACTATGAGAATCTATGAGAAGCGTTTACTCCCACCAGTGCATGGCACATAGTGTTTTAATAAATGGTAATTATTTTCTCAAGTCACATGAATATCTTTGAATACTTGTTGAAAATAAGTTTAGGTGACTGGCATTAGTATGGGGAAATGCATTTCATGCAGGTGTTTTGGAGCTCTTTATTTACTGTTAATATTATTAGTGTATTTTTGAGAATCACACTACTGCTAGCATTAAAAGAGGGGAAGAACATGTGGCAGACTTATGGTCATGTGACTATTTCTTGTATTCCTGTGTATAGTTGTTCATACTGTTCATTATTGGATGTATGTATATTTCGCCTTATTCTGCAGAAAAACTCAATGGTTTAATTTAACACAAAGGAACTCTTGACCTCTCAGGGTTGCAGTACTGAGGATTAATCTTTTAAGTATGAGAACCTGGACTTTTATTTTAATGTCTTTAGAGGCTTATCACTATGTCTGTTACTTAGTAGATACTTAATGAGCATCTGAAAGGCAAGCCATCCATCGAATGGAGTGACTGTTAACTAGAATGACCTCTAGAGGAGAGGAAGACTGAAACCTATTGTAAAATGGTTGTTTGGAGCTCTTTTTTCTCCCCATGAAGGGATTTGCTTCCTAAAGAGAAGAACTTGGAAACTGTGTCGACCTTGGCTTTTCTAGAAATAGATGAAGCCTTTTTGAGACACACCCACCTGTCTGCTGATGATAAGTAAAATAATCACATTTCTTAGGGTCCTGGGGAATGTCGGGTAAAATAGAAACCATTTAAATTCTTTAGGGGTTGGGAATTGGATGTTTATGTTGAAAATGATTTTGCATAAAGAATCGCTTTAAAGGCTTTAAATCCAAACTAATGTATCTCACTTTTGAATGAAATATATTGGAGAATTTTTTAGATCTGAAGCTCTAAAATGGTTCTGATATTGAATTTCAGTTTAAAAAAGACCAAAAATGTTTTAATCTCATTTGGTGGACAAGATGTTCATACTATGAGAGGGTTTATTATTTTTGTTTTTATCAGATGAATCTGATGAGCAAATACTGAAATACACTGCAGGGTAATCTTGTGTAGCCAGGACAGTAATTGTCCAAGCAAGAGGAAAATTACTAATTGGTTCTAGATAGGAAAGAACAATAACTAATATATACTACTTTGTATAATTAGAATGAAGATATATTTTTTTCTCTCTCACTTCTAAAAAGCTTGATCTTGCAGCTTTTCTGTGTTAATTAGTGATTTTTTTTTATTTGTTAAACACAAGCAGAATTAAACGTTTTTGTGTACTGTATATCCTTAAATTTTGAAAGTAAAATGTTTCTGATTTTGCCTAAATTTATCAAACTATTTCAGGAAAATGTAGTGACTGTTTTTTAGTTAGCTGGCCCCCAGATCTTTTGCTCAAAGGTTAATTTTGAAAACTTCTGCAGCAAAACCATGTAAATGTGTGCCTATAGAATGAAAATGAATCATGCAATGATATTGAAACTGGAGGGAAACTGAGTCTGGACTCTTGCTGCCTGTGCCACTCAGCCAAATGACTGACACAGGCATTGGGCTAACCAGTATAAGCATTTATTAGAAAATTGCAGTTTCCCGGAGACCCAGGTGAGCTTCTGCTCTAAAGACCTGGCTCCCCAGGTTTTTTGGGTGCACAGATTATATAGGGATATTGGTAGTCATGGAAACTAAGGGAGCATCGTCATGGGAACTAAGGGAGTTGGGTTGGCCAGGCCATCTATCTTGTCTTTTCAGCAGGGGCTTATTTCCCAGGCCACCTGGAGGGGAGTAACTGCCTTTCCAAAGTGAGTGACAGCAAATACACTGCTTAGTTGCAGGAGCAGAGAGCGTTTTTTAAAAATGGTGGACCAGCTAGCTGCCTTTCTTGAGTGAGCAGGCAGATAATGTCCATGGGAACAGCCAAAGAAGCATACAGTGCCCATAGGAACAGCAGAAAATGTCCTTGGGATCAAGTATTGCCCAGAGAGTCCTTTGTTCATTGTCTTCCTTGGGGCTGCTGACCAAGCAGCCCTTTTTCTGTCTTCTGAGTATGTGAGGTCCTTCTTCAATATTAACCATTATTTGGTTCATCCTTTGTTTAAGAAGGTCAAAGTGCACCACTGAAATGTCATTTTCACAGTTTTCACTTGGAGTATCTAGGGATGGAAATTCCTCATTTTCCCAGATAAGGAACTGAAACTCAAAGAGAGGTAAAGGGCTATTGCTTGGGTTTTCCTGGCACCCACTGCAGCCTCTCTCATGGGTGTGTTTAATGATCAGAGAAGATGACTCTAGGATGGCTCTTTTTGCCATCTCAAGAGGTTTTTCCTGCTCTTTTTTGAGAAACTTTCCATCATCATACCCCTCAGAAAAGCATCAGAGTCCATCTCTTTGTTTAGGAATTTATTTTCTCATTTGTAGATCATCCGGCCCATTTTCTCTTCTCCTTCATTCCTTTGGACTTTTTTTTTTCTTTCCAGCTGGCCCTTCGCCTTTTGAAAATAGGGGCTGAGAGAGTGTACCTTTTAGGCATAAGATTTACCTCTTGTTTCTAATGGGTAGAATATATGAGAA